ACCAGGCAGAAAACTTAAGAAGGCTAGAGACCAGGCAGGAAACTTAAAAAGGCTAGAGATCAGGCAGGAAACTTAAGAAGGCTAGAGATCAGGCAGGAAACTGAAGAAGGCTAGAGATCAGACCGGAAACCGAAGAATTAAAATGCAAAGTAAAAGGAACTTATGGTTCAAATTCTTTTCTTTCTTCTGTTCTAAGATCGTATGGGCATGTAATAGCTGAACTGTCAGTGAGTGCCAACAATTTGGGAGAGTGTTTCTCATCTTTCTTGCTCTTACGATTGCTTCAAATATCCTCGAGCGAATTCTCTGAAGCAAAGAAACGGATTATGCGTTCATTAAACAAAAACCTAGCAGTAGAGGAGAAGACACGGAACAACTTGAGAAGAAACAGCACAACTTGAGAAGACACAGAACAACTTGAGAACAGGACAACTTGAAAACAGGACAACTTGTGAAGACACAGGACAACTTGAAAACAGGACAGGAGAAGTCACACAACAACTCGAGAAGACACAAAACAACTTGAACACAGGACAACTTGTGAAGACACAGGACAACTTGAAAACAGGACAGGAGAAGTCACACAACAACTCGAGAAGACACAAAACAACTTGAACACAGGACAGGAGAAGACACAGAACAACTCGAGAAGACACAAAACAACTTGAACACAGGACAGGAGAAGACACAGAACAACTTGAGAAGACACAGAACAACTAGAGAAGACACAGAACAACTTAAGAACAGGGCAGGAGAAGACAGAACAACTTGTGAAGACACAGGACAGGAGAAGACACAGAACAACTTGAAAACAGGACAGGAGAAGACACAGAACAACTTGAAAACAGGACAGGAGAAGACAAAGAACAACTTGAGAAGACACAAAACAACTTAAGAACAGGGCAGGAGAAGACAGAACAACTTGTGAAGACACAGGACAGGAGAAGACACAGAACAACTTGAAAACAGGACAGGAGAAGACAAAGAACAACTAGAGAAGACACAGAACAACTTAAGAACAGGGCAGGAGAAGACAGAGAAGACACAAAACAACTTGAACACAGAACAACTTGAAAACAGGACAGGAGAAGACACAGAATAACTTGTGAAGACACAGGACAGGAGAAAACACAGAACAATTTGAGAACAGGACAGGAGAAAACACAGAACAATTTGAGAACAGGACAGGAGAAAACACAGAACAACTTGAGAACAGGACAGGAGAAGACACAGAACAACTTGAGAACAGGACAGGAGAAAACACAGAACAACTTGAGAACAGGACAGGAGAAAACACAGAACAACTTGAGAACAGGACAGGGGAAGACACAGAACAACTTGAGAACAGGACAGGGGAAGACACAGAACAACTTGTGAAGACACGGGACAACTAGAGAAGACACAGGACAACTAGAGAAGACACAGAACAACTTGTGAAGACACAGAACAACTTGAGAACAGGACAGGAGAAAACACAGAACAACTTGAGAACAGGACAGGAGAAAACACAGAACAACTTGTGAAGACACAGGAAAACTTGAGAAGACACAGAACAAGTTGAAAAATGCAGAGTCACAAACAAAAACCTTGCTATTCAGGTTCCGACAAAGTTTCAACTCAAAGGGTTGAAATGGTCAGTATCATAAAGTGTTTATAAGAAATTCACTAAGTATACAATTAAACAGTTTGCCACATTGCTCAAGAAAGACAAGTTTTAAAACATTTAAAATGATTTTAATTTAACTAAGCTGTATACAGTTTAACTAAGCTGTATCTCTCGGTACTTAAGGTATCATATCTCTCGGTACTTAAGGTATCAAAGTCAACCATTCAGATTTTAAAAGGGTAATATTTAATTTTGTAAACATCGTCCAGACTTTCTAACAAAAAAGGTGTCTTCTGATGTCACATGGGTAGGTGGTTAGGGCACTCGACTCGCAATCTGTGGGTCGCGGGTTCGAATCCCCCTCCCACCAAACAGACTCGCCCTTTCAGCCGTTGGGGCGTTATTATATGACGGTCAATCCCACTATTCGTTGGTAAAAGAGTAGCGGTAGGTGGTGATAACTAGCTGCCTTCCCTCTGGTCTTACACTGCTAAATTAGGGACGACTAGCGCAGATAGCCCTCGTGGAGCTTTGTGCGAAATTCAAAACTTTATAACACGTAAGTATTCTAAATATACAGTCAGAAATTCTATATAATTTGTAGAGAAGATTAAAAACCTGGTATCATTTGATGTAATATCGTTGTTTACTAAAACACCAGTAGATGACGCTATTAGATGTTTGAGAATAAATTAATAGAAAACAGTACTAACAGTCGAAATTATAGATATATTGAAATTAACAAGTGTGTGTGTTTAGATAATCCATTTTTCTAAGTTAATCACAATTATTATAAACAGAAAGAGGGTTTATCTATGGGGTCACCGTTGTTTATATGGATAGTTTTGAAAATGAAGCTTTAAATAACTCTAATACAATTTTAACCCCTTCATCGCTTAATTAGATTTCACGATCAGTCCGCAATCATTGTTCATCAAAAAACATCGTAAGTTACCAGTAGAGTTCGCTGTGTTACGCATTATGATATATAAGACACACTTACCTTACATATCTTGATGTTATGGTGTCAGTAACTTACCTAAATTATGGTAATAACACAGAGAAAATATGACAATCAGCTGATTTCTCTGTCGTCTGCCGGCTAGGGTCCTTTCTCGGTATCGGGCTTTAGGTCTTTGTGGACCTGGGAGGATCAGGGTCACCAGGATCTCTTCCTCCCCCGCTTTTGTTATTTTACCACTGTAGAATATTCTTTTAATTACTACATGAGGATCAGAAGTTATGCATGTACTTTGACCCCTTTCAAGGTCAACATCACGAACAGTTCCAGTTACGTTTCAAATACTTTTCGTCAGTTTAACTACCGCGAGAGCGTTGTACATAAAAAATATCCTTTTCAATGTTCTATCATCCTTAATTTATTTAACTACCTTTAGCTAAGACTATATCCTTTAACTGACAGTAAATTATGGCCTAAATTAAGGATGGATATAGTCTTAGCTAAAGGTGGCCATAATTTATATTTTATTTCTGAGATAGAAACTGATTCGTGAGAGGTTCTTAGGGCTAAGTGGTTGTTTATATTTGTGTTTCCCACTCAAGCTCCCAAATGTTAGCACACCCAGTCGATTGAAGCTCGTGGAGGGTTGTCACTCCCAGCGGTTTAGCATAACAAATGAAGCAAATTATGCACCAGTGTAAATGTTGAACATAAATGGACCTGATAGGAGTATCATAATCATGACATTAAGTGGTAACAGCACCCTTATTTATGTGATGACCAACATTTAAATAGTGCAACAAAACATCCGTGCTGGGGGGAGGTGGAATATGAAACCTGACCCTCCCAGATTCCGATAAAATAGAACGGCGGTCTCGCGTTGAAAGGGGTAGACAAGTATGACTGTCCTGTTTGACTTGTATAGTGTTATCACACTTGACATATAATGAACGTTTAAAAAATACTTTACATGCTTTGGCTGCAGCAAATTGACCAATAATTTCTACTGTATCTACATATGTGATTCATGACGTTTTTCTCGACATTTGAAAAATTGGTTATGATTGGCTATTTCCAATAAGCTTCAGCGAATCGCCATGAACCTTTAATTTAAATTGGTTATGATTGGCTATTTCCAATAGGCTTCGGCGAATCGCCATGAACCGTTAATTTAAATTGGTTATGATTGGCTATTTCCAATAGGCTTCAGCGAATCGCCATAAGCCGTTAATTTAAATTGGTTATGATTGGTTATTTCATATAAGCATCAGCAAATCGTCGTAAACTTTAATTTTTTTTTGTCACGACGGATATAATTGACAAATGATTTATATAATTATTAACAACCAATAACAATCTAGCTTTAAATTAAAGTAAAATACTTTTCTTCATTGCAAGGATGCACTTGATTTGTCCAAACAACCCTAATAATGTAATAATTAAAGCAACATTGCAACCCGCACTAGTTTATAAAACTAAATTAGCTTAGAATTATTAAAAACTTGCTTTTGTTTGATGATAATTGGTGTCGCCTTTAGCGAAAAATGTATCATAATTCAATGGAAATAACTTAGCTGTAGCAATTTAAAGAAATTTGGGCACTTAAAATATACCTCAATTCGTTCAAGAAACCTCATTCATTATGCTGCCATCATGAGCCTTTTTCTGGTCTGGGCCCAAGTTATTCCTTAATCCGGCTCTGGATATCAATCATTGCCATGGTTACAATCAAGTTCAATTTCCTAACTCTATTTACGAATCTCTCAGTTTTTGTTAGTAATATTAATAATGACCAGTTAGTTTAACATCCTACAATTCGCCTGCTAAAGTGCTGCCACCTTCAGAGAAGGAATGTATTTGATGGCAGGGGCCGGAATTCGGTCCCGTTTCTTTATTATTATTATTATTATTATTAGAATTTGTTTTGTTTTGTTTTTGAATTTCGCGCAAAGCTCCACGAGGGCTATCTGCGCTAGCCGTCCCTAATTTAGCAGTGCAAGACTAGAGGGAAGGCAGCTAGTCATCACCGCCAACTCTTGGACTACTCTTTTACCAACGAATAGTGGGATTGACCGTCGCATCATAACGTCCCCAGGGTGGGGATGACTAGTTGACTTCCCTCTAGTCCTTCACTGCTAAATTAGGGACTGTTATCGCAGATGGGTGGGGATGACTAGTTGATTTCCCTCTAGTCCTTCACTGCTAAATTAGGGACGGTTAGCGCAGATGGGTGGGGATGACTAGTTGATTCCCTCTAGTCCTTCACTGCTAAATTAGGGACGATTAGCGCAGAATTCAACAAACGAGCAAACAAACTTTCCTACTAACGGCCATTTTTATTAGGCTTAATACTTCTGGGTTTAAAGATTTTGAAAGTAAATACGAAGTTGGTTAGGAATTATTCTTTTAATAATCAAAGTGTTTTTCTCATAGGTTTTATTTACCCTGTGGTGGCACACTGGACATGGTCAGCAGAGGGGTGGCTAGCAGTTGGAAATGGTAACATTGGAATGAAGGTGAGTTTCTTGATAATCAAAACGTTTTTCACATGGGTTTTATTTACCCTGTGGTGGCACACTGGACATGGTCAGCAGAGGGGTG